GACATACTTTTGAAACCATATGTATCAAAGGTAAAAAGTTATATAAGGGATACTATCGATTTTTTAAAATCACTACCTGACAATATTCCAACTGATTCAACGCTCATATCATTTGACGTGACCAGCTTATATTCCAACATCCCACATGAACTAGGACTAGAAGCAATTGAACATTGGATTGATGAATTCCCAGAATTACTACAACTTCGTTTTTCAAAAACGTTTATTCTAGAAAGTTTAAAATTCATATTGGAAAATAACTTTATGAACTTCGATGGAACAACCTACAGACAAAAACTTGGAACAGCTATGGGAACCAAGGTTGCCCCGACATATGCCACACTTACGTTGGGATACCTTGAGGAAAAATTATACAAAACCGTGGAAGAAAATTTTGGTGTTGAGTGCAAACATTTTATTCGAAACTCCTGGAAACGATATTTGGATGATTGCTTCATAATCTGGACCAAATCTACCGATGAATTACAAAGTTTCTATGATATTTTAAACAGCATGAACTCCAACTTAAAATTTACAATGGAGAGTGACGAAAACAAGTTACCTTTTTTAGATGTTATGGTCATGAAAAAAGAAGGGAAAATCGTAACTGACGTATATTACAAGGCCACGGACACAAAACAATACCTTCTCTACGATTCCTGTCATCCAAAACACATCAAGAACAACATTCCATATAATTTAGCTAGGCGACTCTGTACCATAATATCGGACAAGGATATTTTAAATGTCAGACTTGATGAGTTACGGGAATTATTAAAACAAAGGCATTATCCAACCTTACTAATTGAAAAAGGAATAGACAACGCCAAACTACATGACAGAAACAGCCTACTTCAGATACAAGAAAAACCCGTAAAAAATCTCATTCCCTACGTATCTACACACAATCCAAAAAATCTAGAATTTTTCCAAGTCATCAAAACCAACATGCCAATTTTAGAGAATGATCCAAGGATGAAAGACGTATTCAGTGAATTTCAGTTGATCAAAAGTAAAAGACAGAGCCCATCCTTAAAGAAGATTTTAACACGAGCCAAATTTAACAATACAGAGGAAACAGCCGGTGTTAAAAAATGTCATCATCCAAGATGTGGAACCTGTCCCTTTTTACAGGAAACCGAACAATTTATTTTTAAAAACGGAAGAAAATTCGTTATTCATTCTTCTTTTACCTGCGAAAGTTCAAATTTGATATATGTCATGACATGTTCAGGATGCGGCGAGCATTATATTGGCCAAACCGGGGACACCCTAAGACACCGCATGACCGTCCATCGTCAACAAATTCGTCAAACCGAGTACTAGTGCACTGCCGTGAGCGGACACATCAGAACATGAGCTGAAAACATTTTTCCTAACTCTACAGTGTTTCCTATATACAAGTTCTACAACAAGATTTCCGAAAAAAAAATACGTGAAACAAAGGAAAAACTTTTTATTTCATTATTTCAACCAAAGCTAAACGCCCTGTCATAATAGACAATTTACAATTTTCCCGCATTATTTGTCTAACTGTTAACGTAATAACGTAACATAATGACGTCACAATGAACCGTACTAAAGCGCAACACTTTTGACGTTACATGACGTCACAATATACTTTGAAATGTTTGTATCTATAGCAATATGTCAAACTCCTGATGATACAATTGAAACCGGTAGAGTTTTAATCGGCATTCTGTTATTTTTTAATAATTTAATTCTGTTTGTATTCTTGTCTCTCATTGGTTGATTTCCAAAAAGGAACGCATAACATTTTGTATAATCTGGTTTGGTATGGGGACACACCCCCTTGACAACCAGCTGAATCATCTGTATCCATCAATCCCCTCATTTCCAGTCCTTCGGATTCATGAAAAATTCCAGATTTAATGAATGTACCTTTAACTTCAAACAGTTGCTCGATCTTACCTCATGTAAACAAGCATCATGGCTGCTAGATCTATGTATCAGTTTTTACCTCCCCTTGCTTCCCATCACTTCCGTTACTACGGTTGTATTATTGCGCGGTAAATTTGAACTAATAAAAACAACACAATTTTACATCCCCAGTTGTTTAATTATTTTAAAATTAAATTATAAGGAATGACTCTAATTCTTGGCCAGATTATCGAGTATAATATGGTTTGGGTCAGTTTACGCTTTTTTATAATCCGCTTCGCGGATTATAAAGCGGAAACTGACCCAAACCATATTATACTCGATAATCTGGCCAAGAATTAGAGTCATTCCTTAACTATTTAAATACTTGTGTGGATTTTTTATCAAACTTTTGGAATATATATATATATATATATATATATATATATATATATATATATATATATATATATATATATATATATATAGATATAGATATAAGAGTGCAAAGGGTCAGTACGCCCACAGAGTCCATTTGCTCATAAAGAAATATCAAATTATATTCTAATTCATTGCACCGTAACAATGACCATTGGGAGATCTGGAATTAATCGAATTTACATTATGCATCAATATATGTATTTATTTCCTAGTTCATTTAGAATTATATATTCCAATATATTTCTGTGTGTTTTGACCTGAGATGTTTCAAATCAGATTTAAAATAAATAGGTATATTTGTTTGTTGTCGAACAATTCTTCTCAAGAATTTTTCATTCATTGGTGACTCCACTACTTGTCGGTTGAGGACTGCGAATTTAGAGCTATACTAGGCACTCAGGGCCATTGAGTAGTAGGGTACTTTTTTTTCCTACTGCGACTCGGAACCTCGATTATATGGTCTCCCCATATCCTGCACTAGGGTTCCAAGCTGCGACGTAAAGATCAATCAGTGAAATATATTTGAAAATGAACAGCACCCAAATAAGCCTAACAGTCTATGCAAACTATATAAATCAGGAACAGAGCAAACATGGATCCCTGAAATATCAGAAATGGGATCAGATGCCATGGAAAAGTGAGCATCCCATACCGACCGGTCACATCCGTTGCGTGCTCCTTGTCAAGATCTGCAAATACCGGAAAATACGTCGACAATTCAGTGTAAATACTGGCCTAATAATAAGTATGAAAAACGTCAATTAGCATTTGACTAAATGATGAAATGTATTTGCTGACAAAGTAATTGTATCGCCCATAGAACTTTTAACGACTTTTAACGAGACTGTTGATATTCTTGTTTCATTAACTTGTTTGTAGATAACTTACTTCGTTTTAGAAACTGTTTAGACGTAGAGCATGCTCTTGCATATCTAATCAATTGAGAAATATAAACTACGTATATAAGTGAAAGGGGTATATTGCAGAATAAGTAAGGGAAGCTGACAATTGAGATGTTTAAGTCGTCATGGTTATCAATAAGCTTTGTAATTAAGTTATAATATTGTCTTTTTCTATATTCGAATCTGAACCAGAGGTGTCAGACTATGTGGTGTCTTTAATATCAAGCTCTCTGGAATATATCGTGTCTACATATTTATAGAATTATTATTGTGAATTAATAAAAGGTCGTCGATATATCTAAATTTTGACATGAAGACAGGTATGTCCTTCTCATGTGTAAGTTTTGAATGAATTCTGCTTTATAACCAAAAGGTCTGCTTATTACATGGCGCAATCGGTACCAATAGGAATTCCAACACAAACAGATTATTGGAATACCTGGCCCCCAATACCACATGGATATTATATTGTCAATTAATTTTTGTAAACTTTAACTGAAATTATAATGATATTACAGTTAAACCCTAGCTTTTGACTGTGGGCCAGTCGTTATAATGTTTGACCATAGCGAATTGTTAAAATAATTTACCGGGAATTTTTTAAGAATTCAAGTAATGTAAATAACCACAGCGCCAAGCATTGAATTAAATTAAATGTTAAAAACAATTAATTTTTATTGCGTGTTTTTTAACCCAGCAAGCAAAGTTGCTTCAAATGTGCAAAAAAGTAGTGATCCTGTTAAAACATATCAAAAGTCTAAATTTCTTTTTTTTCTTCCTGTACAGTGCAAGGCCTTGAGGAGGCATCGCTCTTCAATTAACTTGTTCAAATATGCAGTGTCTTGGTATAAATGCTTTAAGCTGCTATCGTAATCAACGACTTTATCAGGCAAAAAGAAACAAAATATATTGAATGTTCATTTATTTCGAGATTTTGTAAAAATTACAATAAATTGCGTTATTTAATTAATACATGTAACACAGTTGAAAACAGCTAGTTTATCTTAATCATATCATAAAGTGATCAATAACCATTATCATTTGAAGTTTATGCTTGTCACTACTTTGCATTCAATGCATCTAGTAATGCAAACAACACGATATTTCAAAGTCTATTTCTTAGGAATGATATACTTGCGTATATTATTCAATAAAATTTACTTAGGTCGGTCTAGCTTTATGTTTTGGATAACCATATAGATATTTGTAAACCATTGTAATTAACAATAGTAAAGGTTGTTGTTTCTCATCACAGATTTGCAGTGTTCAAATAATAGTAATTTATATTTTCCTCTTGTAAATCTTGAGATCATTTGATACTTTTAACAATACTGCAGTGGCTATTCAACGTTTCACTGTTTTGCTTAAGTAAAAAAGTTTTACAATGAAATTCAAAATGACAAACTTGGCTTTTGACTTTAAAAGCTTTTTTCCCCTTTTTTATATTCCCAATGAATCATTTTAGACTCAAACTTTAAGGTTTCGTCAACGGTCAACATGTCTACAATATTATTTTTACAATAGCTCCAAAACTACTGTAGATTCCTTATTTTTCACGAGTACTTTTTATCGCGAACTGGCTCTTAAACGTCAAATCGCGAGAATTATAATTCGCAAATGGACGGTTGATCAATAGATTTTACATAGATTTCAGCACTATAAAAATAAAAGCGAGTAATATTTTTTCGCGAGTGGTGCTTCTCGCGTAATTACGCGGAAATTAATTCCTAGCGTTGAATTAGGAATCTACAGTATGTGTTGTATGAAGTCAAATGTTTACAGTTTATAAATATATTATCGATTAATAGATAAAAAGTATCACTTGATAACAAGTATTTTAAAAAAGATATTTTTTTAGAAAAATTTTATCAGAAAATGTGCATATTTTAAGAGAAATTCACCTGCTTAATTCTGTCCTTTTTGTGAAAACCATCATTGCAGAAATAATATATGTTTATCATTAAAGGGCAAGTTGGATGTGAATGGTCTCTGAAAGGCTGTTATTGAAAGCATGACATGTATAAAGACAAGACCCCTGTAGAACCCGCCTTTTGCAATGTACTTTCGCTTTCAAGTCTTAACATTTGGACAAAATAAACAGGGAAAATATCTTTCCAGAGGCTATCCAAGTCCAACTAGCTCTTCATTGATAAACATATTTTGTTTCTGCAGTGATGGTTTCCACTAAAAGCACGGAATTAATTCAGTGGATTTTCTGAAAATACATGCATTTTTAAAAAGATTTTTTTCTCAATTTAAATATTTTTTCCAAGTATTTTTTATCAAGTGATACTTTCTATCTGTTAATCAATGAAACATTTATAAACTGTAAAAGTTTTAACTTTATACCTCACATAGTTTTGGAGTTATTGTAAAAATAAATTTTTGGACATGTTGACCTTTGGCGAAACCTTAATTTCAAATTTAACATCCAAGATACCAGTATCAATGCTATACTTATCATAATCCAACCCAAAAAATTATTCAACGCATCATAACAATTCAAAGCACCAAAATATCAGTGAAAAATCAAAGTACAACCACTAGTTTAAAAAGTCGCAGAAAATCAATACATTAAAGTACATAGCATATATATACTTTTGTTCACTGTACCAAATTTTTCAAAGTTCCATTTCTAGTATTCATACAAGCGTTTTATTTGCTTCAAAATTTGTAAACAAATTTATTCATAATACAAATTTTACACAGTTTAAATTAGAGTAAAAACGACATTTTAATTGAAACATCTCATGCCATTATATATATATAAAACAAAAATTAAAAAAAAACATAAAATATATTGCTTAAAGCAATAATTCAAAGCACAATATAATAAACACCTTCCTTTCTCAGGTTGACAAATATGTAAGTTCATTTGACACACATATCCTTCCACGTGGAATGTTTGTAATTGATTGGGTCCCATCTTTTCCAACAATAACATTTCCTGATTTTGTACACGGCCTTTGTCAAGTATGACAACGAACAAGCACCAAATTCGGTAATCATTTTCTTTTGCTACAAAAACAACTTTGCTCGCTCATCCTTTCTATATCAAGAAATATCAGAAACGGATGTTTCTTTCATCGGCAGATTGAAATGTTTTGTTTCCATACAGGCTTGTGGAAACCATGTAGTACTTCTCCTGCAGGTGCTCTCTGAGTGAATCACTTGTTGTTGAATAAGACCTCTACAGAAAGAAGTATGTCTTTGATGTTCCGATCAAGTAATTTGTCATCCAACACTTTTTCGAAATCTTCACATGCCGGTGATTCTATGCTTTCTTCTCTTTCAAAGGTTGGTTGTCTCATAACAGCTATACTAGCGGATTTCTTAGACAGACCAGAATTAAAAGCTATAACATTATTGTCCGGAAGTTGGCCTACACTGGCACTGAATATAGGATTCTTTCCTGACATTCTAAAATTTTTTCTCCGCCTTGTTAGAGCTTCTTTTGGATCCAGATGTTTTAGATACTCCTTTGGTGGCACTAACACAGTGTGCTCTGAAATATCTTCCGAATCCAATCCCATTCCATCTCTGTGATCATCATCGCTAAAGGTTGTCTGTCGACTCGACAAAGGGACAACCAGTCGATGTTTTCCATCGCCTTCTTCGTCATCACTTGAGGTTGCCTGTCTGCTCAAAGATGGGATGGCAAGTCTGTATTTTCCATCGTTAGATGCAGTTTCATCTTCATCACTTAATGTCGTCTGACGACTACTAAAAGGGACGCTTAACCGTGATTTAATGTCAACAAAATCTTCTGATTTTCCTGAGCGACTCATTTGAGAAGTTTCTGCACTAGTATGTGAATCACATGACGCAGAGTGTTGACTCCAAGCTGTTCGTTTTTCTCTGGCTTGTGCGCATGCTTTTTTAATTTCTTCCACATGGGTGGCTTTATCCGGTCCATAGTGTTCTTCATTTGATGCCATTTCAAGAAGCCATGCCATTAACTTATCATAAGAGTCGATTTCTTGTTCCTCAGCATCTTCTAATCTTTGTAATATTTTTGCTGAAAAAAACATTTGAAAATTAACAAAAACTTTAAAATCTGTTATTTTCAAAATTACATCACTATTGAGAATAATATAGTATAACAAGAACAAAGCAATGGGCATAAAGACACAAATAACACACAATTCGTCGGAAAACAGTGTATTTAGGTTAATAAAACATAAATTATTTAAATGTCTTATCTGTTAGAGCATAATGCAGAATTGCAGATACATTGACAAGGAGTCTAACATTGGTCGAGGGTAGATGACGGACGTGAAATGGGAAAGGTCTGACTGATTTATGCTCAATACACCCTTAGCAAGAAAATACACAACGCATCTACTTATACAATTACAATATAATATTCATTGATAAGCTTTTAATTTATATCAAAGAAAAGCAATTTGAAATCAAGGGGATGTAAAATCGAAAGATATTTGGGATATTATTATAAGTACAGTCAAAGCAATAACTTCTTAGGGGTCTACAATAAATTGCATTAAATTGTATTGTGAATTATGGAGTTCATGTCTCCCAGCTGTTTCCATAAGCAGGAGCATGTTCTATGTACGCACAATATCTAAAACAAGGCAAGCTATTCACATAACAAGTTGACGTCACAAGGATTGCAACAGTCACGTTTGGCGTCAAAATTTTGATATCTGTCGTTAATAAATGACCTTGCCAGCAATCTATCAAGAAGTCGAACGTTGATTGGCATTTTTATTAAGACCATAATCTACGGATTTTTTCCTTTTACTAGAGCATGAATAGAGGCACATGGCGGGCGTGGTCGGTAGACAGGGGATGTTTGCTTCCTCACCTTAAGGACTTTAAGCTTGATTACTGTTCGAGTTCATAATTCTGTTATTTTCATATTTCATCTACGCCCAATAAATCACAATAATACCAACGAAACTTCCCAGACCCACTCATGATTTTTTTTAGTTTTGCAAATTCAATTCAACTTTACCAAAGTTGTTTCATAAAAATTAAAAAAAAGTAATTTTATGTATTAAAAATAATTGAAGCATTTCATAACACAAAAATATGTACTTCAAGACGATTTGTACAATATTGTGCGGCTATAGCTCCTTTACATCTAATTGGCATTCCACAGAACACATACTGGACTCTGATAACGTATGGTCAATTCCTTAACAACTTCATGTAATTACTATGTTTTAGAAACTACAATGGCATATTTTTGTGCACTTTAAGCTTATATTCCAATACATGTACAACAGATGACTTGCTGCATCCAGGATATTCCCCAAAGTTGCAAATTATATAAGCTTTGCGAGGTAGAGATGTTTTGGCATCTAGCTACTATGTGCGTGTGCATGTTCCTGACCTTGCATTACAATTTTTGCAAGGTAACTGAGCTGGGTAATATTCTGGAAAACTTCTTTTTACAGTTTATATAAACAAGTTATTTTATGGTTTATTATTATCATCATCATCAATATTATAACTATTAATCTTGATAAATTACAGATTAAGTTTGCATTTTGTTCCGATTCGATGATTTTTGGCGGAATTTTGTCATTGTCGATTTTTAATGACAACCAGGTTACACTTGTCGGTAGGGTTATAGTATTGATAATGCAATATTCCAGGAATGCCTGTCCTTATAGATTTATGTGTCGTACGTTTTCCATATTTATAATACATGTACTTGTTTATCCTGTAAATCGAATTCTGCTATCCTTATCGTCTATTTGGAATTTCAGCCTGCATGGTTGAAATATATTCATCAATATCCGTGCAAGTCATACTATTAGACTAATAGATGAATTTAATGTTAAAATAAAGACCATGTCATTTCTATTTTACCTGTACAGATTCTATTTCATTTTATTTGATGGTATTTTGATGCTTACATTATTATTTTAAAATGTTTATCTTCTTAAAATATGTATTTTAAAAACTTTTTTGCAGAGGAAATGACAAAAGAACTTTTGAAGACTTAGGTAGCAAACAAAGTATTGGCGAAACATGTATACTGGTCTTTTTGTTAGTTTCAAGATTATACGACTGAAAGAAAAAGCTGATTATTTTCTATTAATATATTATTGTATACCAGTCATGGAATCTTGTAGAAGAAATCGTGAGTAAACATATGATTTATTGATGCTCTTAGGTTTATATTTAGCAAAAAAAAAAAAAAAATGAAAACTAAGTGAAACATAAGAATTGCGACAAAATGTCATACACCATAGAATTATTCCCAGTAGAGTAATTTAATAGCGGCCATTACTACGACTTTGATGTTTGCAATAGATTTTATCGGGAAACTTCATAGGGTGACGTTGGAGTTCGATATAGAATAAATACCAAAGTTTCGCTTAATCTGAGAGAATATTATTGAGTTTTATATTCCTATAAAATGGGGGGAAACATTTTCTTCGTGTTGATACACATGAATATGACAATTCAGAAGACGATGAAAACTTAAATGATTATCCTATTAGCTCAAAATCCTGAATTCTTTTATTCTTTTTTCCCTGCCATCATAGACGAAAAGTATCAGATTAACAAGAACACTAAACAACTTTTTGATTCATGAGCTAGATACACTCAATAACCAAACTACAAAGTCCAGCGACAAAAAAAAATCAATTTCTAAAAAAAATTTATCCTTATCTTCGTTTTTTTTTCTTTGGATCATATTTCATGTAGCTTAGTTTACCTGTTAACAAAACCGAAAACTGAAACTAGACATAAGTCTAAATATCCTGAGCATCATTTTTTCATACATGTTTAACAATTTCCGTGTTCATTGTGTCGTCAAACTCACAATGAAAATTTTGTTTGATTATCACTTTCCTAGAACTTCGTTATACTTATTTGAAATGTTAACTAAAGTTTGCTCCCATTTTATGGTCTTGAGACTTAATTTTTAATTTCTTGAAAATATCAATTGTGTTCAGTGGTTAGTTTCAATATTTAGGAAGAATGTTGATTAAGCCTTTCATAAATCGTTGGGCTATTTTCCCCACTGAATGTACCACAAAACTATTCCGTTTACATCACCATGCTGTAGAGCATATGGTGGAACCGTCGAAAGAAATGCCTACTCCTTACATGTATAACATGGCACCTGATTGAACACCTGTTTTTGAAAGTCCATGTTTTTTTTTTTCAATTTTTCTGCGGATTGTATATGGTGGCATATTTCTGCCTCTACATGCAAGATAAATTGTTAACATGCAACATAATTATATAGACATTCAACATATTTATGTCAACATGCAAGTTAATTATGTTGGCTTTTAAATTACAAATCTTATAAGACAATAAAATTTAAATATGAGTAAATTTACTTACTAGCGCCTGTATCTGACATCGTAGATGCAAGATGCAACATAATCATGTAGACATGCGATTATTTATGACAACATGCAAGATAATTACGTAGACATGCAACTTATTTATGTCAACATGGGACTTATTTATGTCAACATGCAAGATAATTATGTTAACATGCAAGATATGTAAATTGATATGCAACCTCTATTATCTTGCATGTTGACATGAATATCTTGTATGGAAAAATATAACTCGTATGTTGACATAAATAAGTTGCATGTGACATAAATATGTTAGCATGTCAACATAATTATCTTGCATGTGAACATAAATATCTTGCATTTCTACATAATTATCTCGCATGTTAACATAAGTATCTTGCATGTTAACATTATTTACTTGAATGTTCATATAAAGAAGTTGCATGTTTACATAATTAACTCGCATGTTGACATAAATATTTTGCATGTCCACATAATTATCTCGCATGTTAACATAAGTAAACCGCATCTTGTCATAATTATGTCGCATCTTGCATCTATGATGTCAGATACGGGTTTACGTACATGATTTTACACATCATAAAACCAGACTCTCATAAAATCTTTTAACTTGCATGTCAACATAATTATCTTGAATGTAGACATATTTTTCTTGCATGTTGACATAATTTTCTTGCGTGTTGACATAATTTATCTTGCATGTAGGGCTCAGAAATATGCCACCACAGGATTGCTCTTTTTAACTGATCAATACAAAGGACTCATAGCGGTTGTAACCGATTAACAGAGGACGATTTCTCCTCTTTGGCACCTGATCCCAACTCTAATATTTTCAGGGGTTCGTGTTTTCGTCCCTATCGTTTTCTTTACTGAATGCATGAGTTTGATTGTTGTTCCACCTTTTTACCCTGTTTATTCATTATCCTTTATAATGACCCATTTCAAATATTAGTAAAAATCCTACATGATCAATGTACATTGTATACATTTGTATATTTACTCAAAATCTTGATGTACTGCTTTGGTATCACTTTCTGCAGATAAAATAAAAATCGAAAGGTGAATATCAAATTTAATTTTTGTTTTATATAAAACAGAGGATCCTGTTCTACAAAAGAACTTAAATTCAATCTGAATTATCCTTTAATTCTTAAATCTTATCAACTTCATATTTTTTAGGATAGATTGTCATTTATTTATATTATTGAATTCTTAATAACATTAAAATCAAAATTATATATATCAACATAAAAAAGATAATAATTTGTAAAGGTTTTTTTTTTTTTGAGCTGTAAGTTATTTAAGACTATAGTAAAACGCGAACAAGTTATTTATATATCATTATAGAGTATTTTTATTGTTTTTTAGTTGTATAAGGAATTTATATTTAAAAATTTTTGATACTGGTAGTATTTTCACAAGTGCAAAGTTTGAAAGTTTGATGATTTGATACCCTATTATGGCCCCATTCTAAACTGTTAGGGCCATTATTTTCACGTAAACATAATTAAATTTGCATTTAATATTTCCAGATGTTTGTTTATTTATACACCAATTGTGGTGTCCTCTTCTCCATAGTGATAATATATGATCGTAAAGTAAAGTAGCCCTAGGTATTTTTAAAACGATTTAAATAAAATGATTTCAAAAAAACTACGTTTGATTTTATTATGTGGCCCCGTCCTACACTCAAAGGGTTATGAATGAAACATAGTGGAATCTGCATTACTTAAAGTTTGCATATTGATATGCTTATTGTGGTCCTGTTCAACAAAAAAATATTCATTTCTCGTACATATTCCATGTTAAATCATGATACTCTATTGAGGCCCAAACAAACAGACAATCAAATTTTTTTTTTTGGTCTAGTGAATCTTGCAACAATTTTTAAGGTCCCCAATCCATTTTCACTATTTTTAATTACTAGTATCTCCCCTATAAAGAGGGTGTAGCTCTATATTTATGCAAACTTCAATCTCCCCTATCCGAGGAAGCGTTCTGGCAAGTTGGGTTGAAATTGAGCAGTGGTTCATAAGGAAAGGGTTGACTATTGAAAAAAATATATGGGCAGGTGGACACCAAAGAATTGTTATCAGAAAAAGTCCTAACAGCTTTTAGCCAAAGTGCATAAACCTAACTTCCTCTTGAAGGTCAATAACTTTCTGGTCTATTGGGTTAGTGACAAATAATTAGAAGGTAAATAAACTCTTTTTTCTATCCATACTCGAAAAAAATAGCTAATTGTTCTTTAGCACTGATAACTCCTACATAGTTGATAATCAGTTGTATTCGTCCAATAAACAGAAAATCAAAACAGTCTACAAACGTCGCGTTCCTCTGTTCGCCAGCGGAGATTAGTGTATAAAGATCCTGTTGTTTACCTTTAATCATTCCTGAGCTCTGCAGTCTTATGTCTGAACAGTGCAAAATGAATGTGAAACAGAGAAAAAAAAATCAATTTCTACTCGTTCCATTTCAGATTCACCGACTGCTTTGGTCTCTTTGCAAAGCAGTACATCCGAATCTTTCAAGATTCGACTTTTTTATGAAAACAATTTTATGTCACAAAATTTTATCCCATGTACCTATTAAATTAAATGAATCGCAAACTCTATAAAAATGTCATGGGAAATATCAATGACCACTTATCATTACACATGTACTATATAAGATGGACAGAATTTAAAATGTAGGTCAAAAAAGAAAAATCTAGAAAGTCAATCTTAAAGAGCAATCAAGCACATAGATAAATTTGTTTCTCGGAGCTATTGGAAAATATGTACCTCATTAATGATGCTACACAATACGAAGATAGTCAATCTCTATACGATCGTGTTTTTTCGATCAATGTTTATAAAAGCTTGTTCCAGATAGCCATAAAAAAATAAAATTGGCAAGATTTTTCTTCAATCTAAATAATTTAGAGTCATATAGGCATTAACTGCGCTATCCAAAAAATCATAAATACAACTATTGATAAATAAAATTTTGTAACAATCAATAATTTAGTCATCCACATTAAATTTCTTCGAGAATTTTTGTTTACTATTTATGAGTGTCAATCTTTAACCAGCTACATTCAAGGCTGTTTCTCAATCAAAATTAGTTTATTTATTTAGTTTGACTCATCTGAAAGTATCACTGTTTTCACTGTATAATATTATAGTCTTCACTTTTATAATTTCAAAGGTATAAAAAAAAAAAAGCTAATCGAATGCATTTAGAGAATGCCTGTGTTAAATACGTGTTCTTAAGGTGTTCATCAATCCTGAAGGTTTGTATATCTGATTCCCTGATAAGTTTACGATATAAACATGATTGCTTATTCAGAAGGAAAGCCAAGCCAAACTTCAAAGGTAACGTGCAAGGTAACAGGCTGAGGGTTCTAAAGGATATACATACCTTCAGAGATATAGTTTCTCAAAGATGCAATATACCGGTACATGGATTTCTAATACATATTTAATAAAGTTTTCTCGTGCAAACTTATTCAAACATGTTAAACTCTGAAATACATGGAAGACTTTTTACTTAAAGACTTCATGCAATTTCACAATTGACAGCAAATCCCAGCAGTTTCATTGGCAAAGAACTAACTAGCAGTTATATTTGGGGTAAAAAAATATTAAGACACCCTTCTTTATTTACAAATAATGTAAACATTATATACAAGTACTAATTATTTACTATGTAAACTTTCATTCCACAATTATTCTTCCCTTCAAGCATATGAAGATAATTCATCATGTTCATTGTTAGCAAACATATAAAAAATGATAATGTGAAATTATATTTATAAGCATCAAAACAGAAAATTCACTTTAGCACTAAAAATGACTAAAGACAATGCATACCTTCTTCACCTTCCATTTCAAATTTTCCTGACGGCTTCCCTAATTTCTTACTTCCTTGGTTTCCCATTATACAGACTCACGTGTGGTTCGTATAACAATAATTAACAGCAAGGTACAAGAGGGTTTTCATTCATAAACCTCCTGACATCAATAAGAAAATGCAGCAGTCGTGATCCGATCTATATATACGTCTGACTTCGCTACGGGAGATACAACCGATGCATTATACGCAGTGTTAACAGAGGCGTTTTACAATCGAATTCCCGTCGGTGATGTGACGTCATTAATTTGATAAAGAGAGCTTTTCTTTTTGCGGATTGTTACAAATTTATATCACTCATCAGTAGTTAGTACATTTATCTCTTGAGGTTGTTCATTTTACAATTTTTTGACAGTCAGGAAGGTTAAATCATATGCCAATTACGATCAGCAAACAATATGCGTGGACATGAACGCAGAACGCTTTCATAACTTCGTTTTCATTCCAGTTTCTGATGGTTATTTTTAAATTCGGAATGTATCATGTCTTAAGTACAGATATAGGATTATATTATTTAAAAATTTAAAGCGTTATTTTAAAATCATTTAAACTGCATGGCTGAGCATAGACAGGAAGAAAAAGATTGCCTGCTTACAAATCAGAAAGGAGTGTTTATTTTCATGTACAATATCCACAGAGAATTGGATAAGCTGCAGAACGAGATACACAACATGCCATCTTCAACCCACTAAAACTCACTCAAATTGATTTGTCATTTCTGTTTTAACCTGTCTTTACCAGCAGTGTATTAACAAATATATTTCAGCTTTGGATTGTTTACCATGAGGAACAACCTTTCAATACAATATAACCAATGCATGAATTTGTCATATGATAAGATACAACAATTGATATTTACTCAATTTGAAGGCATTCTTGAAAGATAAATTGCCTTCATAGTGGAAAATTTAATTTTAAGGAGTGAATTTAATAGTATAACACTATAAACCGGTTCAACCTGGGTTGGAGCAATTATGCACCGAAAATTATATACATATTTATCGAACAGTGCTTCTGTGCATTTTATTATCAAGCTACAAATTTTCAGCAAGAACTATACTTAGAAAATTAATAGACAGATTACTTGTATCTGTGTTGATTCATTATACCAATATAAGAATCTTAGACGAGTTCAGTCACCAAGGACTCTCCCATTACAAAAACACATTGCGGATAAAAAAGGCCAACGTCCCCCAGGATACACGGTCTTACTAACACAGGTAAAACAACACAACTACTGAATACAAAACGAGGCAATTTTTTCATCAGTGACGTATTCCTGATCGTGCTTTCTCTGAATGATATGATCGATTTTCGAAATCCGGCAACATTATGGATAAAGAGAGCGTAAAACGACTAGTGCTGCATTGAACAAGATTTAGTGTAATAAGAATGTTCACATGGGAAAAAAACCAGTTCCATGCAGGTTCCACTCCAAACTGATCTTTAATTTTGAGTAACTTGATGGATTATTTTATTGTTTTTGATTATTTCTTTATGACAATTTCTTTGAATCCAATTTTGGAGCCATTTTTTTTTGTCTTCAAATTTGCCACTTCATGCAAGGAAAAGGATATTTTTATATATTTATGAATGCAAGGTACCTTGAAATCAAATTATAATATCATTTTAGTACCATTTTTATATTATTCAGTTGTTGAATTTGCTAACAATATTTTGTCACTTTTTAACCTTACATTCATTTTTTTCAAAATTTAATTTACTATTTGAACAGTAGCAATTATGCCCATTGTTTTAATGGGTTTGGTTGAAAACTTTCATGCAAATATATGTTGCTTAGTAGTTGCAATTTCGAGGATTCGTCCAATATAAGATTATTTTTGGCTTAAATCTTATATAAAAAGTGGTATTTTGAAAGCAAATATAATCCAACATGTATACTGTCCATCACGTATTCCCAAATTTAGCATTCAATATTAATGTAGTATTAACAAAAATAGCTTAGGCATGCAATACTAAGTACATAAAAAGATATTCTGGTGGTAATACAATATAATATCAAATAAGTTCCCGGTCGTTTTACTTTTAATGATCCTATATTCTCCTTACTTGCTCTTAAAGATGCTGTAAAAGAGACATTAAAACAAGATTAAAGAAAAACTTATTGGAATATATGAAGTTATTTTTGTTTTCAAATTACAGTATAAAAATTCACATGAAAGAACAGACATGTAATTGTTATTTCGATTTCGTCAAGATTACAAAAATTGTAAAGATCTTGACGTTATAAATATGGTATCAACTCGTAACCTTAATCCATCCCTAAAATGTCTGTAAAATGTTTAATTTGAAATCAACATCGAAAGTCCCCCGATAATCATACCTGTAATTTATGAGGTTTTCAGGTGCAATGGCATCTAGAAGATCTACTAGTGTCGACATCTGAGACTCTAGGATTTCAAAACCACAACTCTGCATTTTGAACAATTTAAAAAGTTATTGTTTATAAATCACAAAATATACTATACATAAAGCATGAAATTATGATACTTTTCCAAAGTTTTTTTTTGTTACTACTTTGAGAGGATTTTCAGTTTGCACAAATAGGAAGAACTCGGGTGACACACCCTTATTTGTCACTGATACAACAAATTCTCATAAAGAAATGTCTAACATTCTATCTTCTATCGAAAAGCGTAAACCTATATGTAATTTGACCAACTCTTTATTATTCATATGGAGTAAAATAAAAAAGGTACAGTATATGGTCTGGTCCAAAATACCAGGAAACAAAACTGTTTCCTATGTAGCATACCAAAACATTTCTTCTTATAACATACCAGTCTAACAGTATTCAATGTAAATATCCGTGAGCAGTCAGTCTGGTGTGTATATAATTAACAGTTGTAAACAGTCTGTCTTCCAATGGAAATGTAAAGTCAAGTAGAGTATGATTGAAGCAATGTCTATTTAAAGTAATCCAAGCTCTTCATTCCATTTCCCTAAATGCTTGCAATATGCGCCATTTATGAATTAAGCAGAGGTAAAAGAAAGTAATTTTTCTTCCGATCTACTGTTTTTGATTAACTATTCCCATTCATTTACTTCTTTACTTACTAGTATGTTTAGTGTGCCTTTCGTGTCTCGTCACTATGAAACTATATTTTCATTATAGTAACTGTCGATATGATACCTGTAGGCCTTGAATAAACTCCTGAATTGTCACAGAGCCCATCTTCTTCCTATCTAAGCTTACAAACACATCTCCGAGTTTAATGTCCTGCTCCTGACTATACTGTTTGATAACTTGAAGAATATTTGAAGGGGTGATATCAGCAATCTGGACACCGAACATTTGTTCCTTTGCTAAAATTAAATAAATGTACAAATCTTTAAAAAAAAGTATTTCCCCTTTTTTAAAGTAAGGAAAAAGGAAATCTTTTATCATTATTTGCAAATTATTTACATTAATTTTTCAAAAAAAAAAAAAAAAAAAAAAAAAAAAAAAAATTAAAATGCATTCTTAAAAAAAAATGTTACTGTGCATCAAATTATTTAATTTTCTTTTTTACATTTTTTTTTTTATAGATTTTATGTTTAAATTGTAAAAATGCAGGCTAAATTCTAATAGCCATTCTCTGTAACCACTTAAACTTCGTTGCCACGCATGGTCACCGATTTTGATGAAACTTCACCCATGCTTAGTACTTGACACCAGAAACAAATATCGAACAAAATTTCGTTGCTATTTGTCTCGGTTGCTATAGCAACAGCCGGAAAAGTTTGAAAAATCGAGATTTTCAGCCACTTTAGATCTTGACTGTGGCTTGATAAAAACTAGAAAAAGCAAACAAACCATTCTCACAAAAACATGACACCTTGATGTCACTTATACTCTAAAGAAACTGTTTAGAATATATCTCTAAGTAAGTGGTAACCAAGGGTACATTTGGAATACATTTAAAATGCTAAAATATGCTGAAAAACACTCCATATTTACTAATTTAGGTGTTACATGCTCAAACTCAATCAACAACTTAAGAAAAACAATGAAAATGTTTGACCTTAAGTATACAAGTAAAAGCAATATTATTCTATGAATAACTTTTATGGTTGTCATGGTAACACAGTGTAACCATGCAAAACCAGTAACTAAGATTGGGTTAATGCTACTGTCTTGAGGAAAAACGTGAAAATTCAAGACTGGCAAATATGCATCCTTAGGACCTTGTAACACCAAAACCATAAGAAAAATTGGGTATAATTGCTACTTTGCAGTGTTACCATGGAAACAAAGTACCAGTGCTTAAAAGTGAATTATTTTTCGCTGCATTAAGAATTAAATTGCCATTTTATCAAGAAACAAATTAAAGGACTCAGCTTGAATAGTACTTATCTGTTAGAACTGAAGTTGAATATCATATATTGATAAAATTTGATGAAGAAAACAACACTGTTGCTATGGTTACCAAGAAAGGAAAATGTTCGATTTTGTGAACTTTATATCAATATTAAACCCTGTGTGCCAACTTCTTGCATCCACTTAGAGATTGGATGATAGTCAAAATTAAAAGTCAGGTTAGCTGTTAATAAATATCAATCATAAAAGTTTTGGGAATCTACATTTAAGGGTAAGTATCCAAGGAAAGAAAATATTTTTCAGGTTTTCAAGCATATATTTTCTGCTTATTTCCATAGCAACGCTCTATTTAAAGAATTTAATCTGAATTTTTTCAAATGGGAAAACTAGGAGCACACCAACATCTTTAAAAATTGATCATTAGTTATGAGGAAATTTGCTTTTTTAAAAGATAGGATCAGATTTAAACATACAGAGTGTTACTTTGAAGGCTTTCTGTGGTATAAAAACCTTGGCAACCATTGCCAACCAAAATGAAATATCATATGTTGTTCTTGGTATATGTTTCAAGGCTCTTTTTTCTATTATTTGGTCACATTTCATCCTATAATTGCTTTTTTTATTTTTACGTGTATGACCTTATAAAATTCAATGAATATCTTTTTTACTTTTGAATACTTTGTTACCATAGTAACATATGTAACAGTTGATTTACCAAACATGTTTATCATGCATTTGAAACATTTGACCTTCAACTTTTGGAAACAGTCATTGCCAATTGTTTGCTTTGCCGCAAATGTTAACTATGGGGCTCTAAACATGTTAAAAAATGCCATTTTTCGTACTTTAAGACATTTGCCATGGTAACTATAAAACATAGCAACCAATTTTTTGCCTGATTTCAGTTTAGGGTATCAATAACTTTTATCATAGAGAGTTTGGAGAAATTCTGAGACTATGCGTGCCACAGCTCCTATATAAAATTTCAAATCATTACAGAGAATGGCTCTTAAAGCAATGATTTTTTTTTCTTCTAGATTTTATGTTTCAATTGTTATGCATGCAAAATTTTAAATCAAATGAATTGTAAAAATATCAAAAAATCAATTACTCTTTACTTATAAAACTAGTTCAAGGCATGTACAGAGTCAACATTGATTCCTGAAATTAGGGGGTGAAATCATGTGCTCCGAATGTCACCATCACCGTCCTGTCGACAGGTATAATCTATCACGTGATCCTTGTCATGATGGGGTAAACAGAAAAATACGTAGACAATTCAAGGTAAAAAAAACTATCAAAGATGCCTGTCAATATTACATTAAACGTTATATTGTTTTTGCAAACAATGTCATTGCATCGATCACAGAATTTATACAAAGTGATCTTTTAATATGAGATTCATATCCTTGTATCATAAACTTATTTGACGTTATTTTGCCTCGTTTTAGAAAACAACTTGAGTTTTTATTCCTAACCCGTCATTCCTAATCCTCAAGGCAAAAAAAAAAATCAATAAACAAAGAGTATAAAAGTTCAAGTTAAAATTAGAAAAACAAGGTTCCACCTTTCCAAGCCACTGACAGTTTAAGGTATGTCACTCGTCAGCTTTTTAGAAAAGTTTACGCAGAAGCATTTACTTTAAAACTACTTATTAAAATTCGATTTTTATAACATATTTGAATTCAACAATGTAAATTTTTTAACATTCAACGAAAAAACTGCTCAAAAATCTACAAAGAAGCAAGCTTTATGGGGGACTATTTTTTTTTTGGGTGGAAGGATATTTAGCAGAAAATTCTGCAAATCTGCACATTTATAAAATTTAATGTAATGGAAATTTAGCCTCACATAATTTTACTCGGAGAATATTTTCCGTTTTGATATTGCTAAAAATATTTAATATAGGTCTTAATTTATACTTTTAGATTAAGTTTTACACCTTCCCTCAACAAACTTTTCCAAAAAATGAAAAAATATTAAAGAAGACAAGATAAAATTTACACCATTTTTTGCCTGAAAATCACATATTTTGACAAATATTTCAAAATTAACATCACTGACCCCATCTTTTTCTTTCATTATTTTAAACTACTCGATACTTGTGACTGATTAGCACTTAAGTCGTAAAAAGTTTGATATAAGAAAATTTTTTATTGCTTATTAAGTTTTTTAATACCCCAAATATGATATTTTTAGTGCAAAAAGGTCACACAATAATTTACGCGCATTAATTTGCAAGATTTGTTTAATGATAAATATTATTCAAACTATTTTACATAAAATAACATTATATTTATTGCCATGCTTACATCTGATAAAATATAATAAGGGTTTAAGTAATTAACCAAAGAGATGAAATTTAAGTGCAAAAAGGTCAACTTAAATGTACCGTAGATCAGTAGGATGCACACTGACCCCCTATTTTCTTTGCGATTTTGAGTTACACTTTTATGAGTACTTATCCAAAATATACTTCTCAAAAAATCCTTGATTTAACAAATTTCAGGAGTGACATACCTTAAGAATGAAATTAAAAACTTGTTTTAATTGACTACTGATACGAAAATGTACTGTAAAAAGTCTCTGATGTATTTAAAAATTGACCGTGAATTTCCTACGTAAAACTTATACAATAGGTAGAGAGTTAATGATTGTTATGATAATTATGATTTCACGGACGTTGTTTAATACAGACTGATCGGTTCTACGACCTCGGCATATCAGGCATATGAACTTCTAGGGTTATTAGCTTATGCTCTCGAAATACAAGAGGCGCCATACTATTCCTAATTTCTTGTGCGTTGTAGTCATTAGTCTACTGCATTCATTAGTATCAAGTGAGAATATAATCATTGACTATAGTGAGAAATAGAATACTACAGCTTCTCTTGCCAATTGATTGGCTGGTAAATTTCCCACACATACATTTAATAACCCAGAAACAAGGAACGGCTCACGGCGGTTTTTCTCTCACGGGGATAGAACATTGTGTAAATTAGGGAAGTATGTCGGTACACTTTTTTTCAATTGAAGCTCTTAGAAATCGCTTGCTTCCGAAACCAAATCTATTAACTGCGCTGCTGCATGACTCTATGGTGGGACTGTCGTAGTTCATGTTTTTGTGGTTATCATTGATTGCGATTATACCTCGCAGTTACCTTTTTGGGGTTTGACTTTGATTACGTAATCACTTAGAACAACACCATGTGTAACGTGGAGCTCTTTAGTTTCTTCCAGAACTTGCTTCAATTCTCTAAACTCTTTATCAACCTCTACACCCTAGAAATACAATCAAGCACTGTGTAAAAATTTGGAGAAGATAAAGTCTTTAAACGAAAATGGAGATAGGATTAGTAAACAGTATAATTCAAACTCAAAAGACCATTGAAACAATTAAAATTGGGAGCAGGGCAAAAAAATGACCTCTGTATGGAGAATTAAGCATCTCCTATCGACAAGTCACACCCACCATGTGCTCCATGATAAAAGAAAATCTATAAACAATTTACTGTAAATAAGGCTTGAAAGTTTATATGAAAAAACCTAAATCAGCATTCTACTTGATATTGTATGTACTGACAAGATCATTATATCGGCCATATAACTTGCAAAATGAATACTTAAAACGAGACTGTTGACATCATTGTATCAGCATTTTTTTGTCAATAACTTGCTTCCTGTTAGAATCATTTCCAGTTTAGCTTGGACTTTCAATAAGGCTTGGCATTCTCGACGTTACATAATTAGCTTCTGAAATTTACACAGCTTTCCTACACTGTTGAAATATAAATGGGATAGAAATTCGGACAAATGCCAATTAGAGTTTCGAATAACCAATAACATTGTCTCGTCAGGCAAAGAGGTGGAGCTTAAGTCGTCTCATCGTTGTCAACAACAATTTAAAGTTCCTGATGTTAAAAATTTCTTAACCAATGAGAATCTATTCGCTTTTTGATAGATGCTAATTACATAGCGTCGAGAATGCCAGTCAAGGTGAAAGTCCAAGCGTACCTGGAAATGGTTCTAAAGCATTCTCTTTTGTGTCTGTTCAACTGAGAAATATATACTGGAGGACATAGACCCTATATCCAGATGATCTGGGTATATTACTACAACGTAAGGGAAGTTGAAGACAGAAAAGTTGTAGTCATCCCGTTTATTTTAAAGTTTTTTGTGTTAGATTATCGTTAACTTTTTCTGGTAAAATATCCAAATAAGGAACACAAGTGTTAGACTCTTTGGTATCTTTTATCACAAGTTCACTGTGACATATTGAGTCAACATATAAATGGAAGTTACAATTGTTTATTGTTAATATGTTGTCGACATGTCCAAATGTCGTTCTTTTTTGTATTAGTTTGTTTAATAAATCCTGCTTCATATAAATATAAAATTGGTATGCTGATAATGCGGTGCGATTGGTACCCATGCGAATACCGCTAGTTTCTTTGAAGATCTAATTTCCAACTTTATTAGCTCACCTGAGCCAAAGGCTCAAGTGAGCTTTTCTGATCAAAATTTGTCCGTTGTCTGTCGTTGTCGTCGTTGTCGTTATAAACTTTTCACATTTTCATCTTCTTCTCAAGAACCACTGGGCCAATTTCAACCAAACTTGGCACAAAGTATCCTTGGGTGAAGGGGATTTAAGTTTATTCAAATGAAGGGCCAAGCCCTTATTCAAGGGGAGATAATTCAGAAATAGTGAAAATTGGTGGTATGTTTTAAAAATCTTCTTCTCAAGACCAGTGTGCCAGGAAAGTTGAAAATTATAGGGAAGCATCCTCAGGTAGTGTAGATTCAAGTTTGTTCAAACCATGATCCCCGGGGGTAGGGCGGGGTCACAATGGCCGATCAAAATTTTACATAGAAATATATAGGAAAATTCTTTAAAAATCATCCTCTTAAGAACCACTGTGCCAAGAAACTTGAAACTTATAGGTAAGCATCCTCAGGTATTGTAGATTCAAGTTTGTTCAAATCATGACCCCCGGGGATAGGGCGGGGCCACAATGGCCGGTCAAAGTTTTACATAGAAATATATAAGAAAATTCTTTAAAAATCTTCTTCTCAAGAATGACAAAGCCATAATTTATCATATTTATATTGAAGCATCCTCAGGTAGCGTAGATTCAGGTTTGTTCAAATCATGACCCCCGCGAATAGGGCAGGGGCACAATGACCGATCAAAGTTTTCATAGAAATATATAGAAAAAATCTTTAAAATCTTCTTCTTAAAAATAGCAAAGCCATGATTAGTCATATTTATATGTAAGCATCCTTAGGTAGTGAAGATTCAAGTTTGTTCCAATTATGACCCCTGGGGGTAGTGCGGGGCCACAGCATGGAATCCAAGTTTTACATTGAAATATGTAGAAAAATTCTTTTAAAATCTTCTTTTCAAGAATGACAAAGCCATGATTAGTCCTATTCATATGGAAGCATTCCCTAGTAGTTAGATTCAAGTTTGTTCAAGTCATAACCCCTGGGGATAGGGCGGGACCACAATGTAAGTTCAATGAATAAAATTTTTTCAATGAATAAAATATATTTTAAACTAATTTAAGTTCAAATGTAAAGGCAATAAAGCCACAGGTAGTCAAAGAAATATGCAAGCATCCTTAGTTAGTGTAGATTCAAGTTTGTTCAAATCATACCCTCTCCCTCTTAAGGATAGGTTGGGACCACTTTTGGGTTAAAACTTTTCAATAGTAAACTGATTTCTGCTTTTTTCAAGCTAAAGTGCTCAGGTGAGCGATGTGGCCCATGGGCCTCTTGTATATATTTTCCATCAGAAACTCCAGCATCTTTTTATATCAGAGTAACTGTGTGTACAATCATCAGAATGGTTTTGTAAATAACCTGTGACAAGGTAAGTAAATTTACGAGTTCTATTTTTATTTGAAAAAAACCCAGCTGTTTATGGTGCGAAAAAGTAAGCATTTAATACAATTGAAAACGTACAGTGTTATTCTTTAATTGGAATTGGGTGAACGTGTTGAAATGTTTCACATCTTTATTTTATTGGGTTTTGGAAAAAAAAGTGTGATTTTAAATTTTTTAAGATATACACCTTTCTTGGATGTAGTTTCACAATATTTATGAAGTTTCTCCTCTACTACTTGACATTTAATCCGCTTTGTATCTTTGTTTGCAGATACTCTCATGAAATTCAGGATTCCAGTAAAGGTATGGCAATTTAAATTCATTTTATTTTTAGGAATATTCGAAAAATATTTTTAAAAAGGCATATGATTTGAAGAATTTTTTTTCATAGAAAGAGAGCTTTGTGTAGTTGGATTATCACTTTCAGAATGAAATACCAGTACATACAAATAATTATGATAAGCCTTACAAAGAAAAAGTTATTACCTAGTTTTACATAATAAACATTGGATGGAGAATAAAAAAAAATAAAGTTACCCAATTCATAACTTTTGTTAAACAGACTTACCGACAGATCTAACTGTGTAATTACACAATGTTCGCAGCCCACTCCTTTTAGGATGTCTTTGGCTCCTTCTACCCCAAAAGGATTATGCCCTATCTATATATATAGAGTTCATGATTAGGTATACATGTATATCAGTGATGAGGAGGAATAATGCTTTATTACTTATTATTTTTAACTATTCTTGTACAAAAATATAGGATTTTATCTAAACCTACAATTAAGCTAGTTAACGGATTTTTTAAGAAACACGTCTGCCATTTTCTGTGTTTTGCTCTAGGATTTTATTGATAAGAATCGATAAAAATGTTGAGAAAACAGAATTTGAATTAACAAGAAATCCATGTGCAACATAACATTGATGTTCATTCGTTCTTGTTGCTACAGTTATACACATTCCGTCGGGACGAAGGAAATTGTGAACTGTAGACCCAATATGAATTCACTCTTAGAAACAAAATGTTTTCGGTAAAATAAATTCCTTAATAGTAGGTGTATGATGCTTGCAGTTATAATATAGTCATTCTATATAAACAGAAGTTGTGTAAAACAAGGTTTTGTCTCCAGCTTTCACTGAAAGTCTGTCTGTAATTTTTTCGGTTCCGCACGATATCTGAAGAAACTTGAAGCAATGAAATTTTTCACAACTCCCTATAACCTACGTAAGAGCCCTATTGTTTTTGAGGTCAAAAGGTCAAAGGCCATAAATATATATAAATTCTGTCTGTTTTTACACTTTTGTTTCCGCGCGATATCTAGAGCTTTTGGAGCAATTTATTAACTCCCTATGGCCTAAGGAAGACCATTATTTATATAAATGTCAAAAGGTCAAAGGTAAAGGTCACAAATTCAGACACTTTCTGTGTGTGTGCCTGTCCTTCTTAAATTGTCCCCCACCCCCTAGAACCGTGCATAATTTTCCCTGCTTTTTCTCCTTAAGCAGGGGACACGGTTTCTCTGAATTAGCTTGTTTTCTTTCCAATGAAGAAATGGCGTGAGAAACGAGAATAATTTATAATATGTAAAAACTTTACAAACTGCGTCTTCAATAACTAAAAATTATCTATATTTTACTACGTATCTAAATATAACTTGTATGCTAGGTTTCTAGAATATAATAAATCAGATTACCCTTAGAGTTCGCAAGGCATCGTTCTGATCAAGCGCTTTGCCGATCGCAGTTGCGCCTGTTCTAGAAATTCGGTTATAACTTATATCCATCACATAAAGCGTGATGCTTCTCTTTAAGATCTCTGCTATAGCGAGCGCCCCCTCGTCTCCAAAACCGTTCATGGACAAATTAATCTCTTTCAGTCTGCAATTGCTCTACAAGAAACATAATTCAAACTCATAATTTCCTAGCGTTTTTGGTACCACATATAAACTTTGCTTGTTTATAGGCACGAAAAAAGAAGTTGCTTCAAGTTATTAATGAAATAAAGAAAAGCGCTCAAAAAGGAGTTCTAATCTCTGCATCCTGTTTGGCAGTCAAATTTAGTAAGTCAATTACCCAGATCCCTTCACAAAGTTTAAGAGTGCTGCCTCGTCTAAAGAAATTCCAACTCAAGTCTAATTCTTCTATAGTCTCGTTCTCAGCTGAAATAAAATGACTAGCATATTAAGTCAATTATTTTCCTTTTTTATTTTATTAGGTTAAAAATATGTTGTTGTTGTTGTTTTGTTTTTTTTTAAACATAAAAAGAATCAAATTTATAACCACGAGCTATTAAAATGCTGTTGAAGAAGTAATTTGGTTTCATTGAGTAGTTTACCTATAGCTTGTCCGAGAACCGGCGCAGCGTTGTCAGAGAATTCATTGTGACTCAAATTCACATTTTTAAGCCTGCTGTTCTCCTGAAAAGTATAGTTAATTTGAGGATTAAAATAAGAAAATGTATTCATATGCTCTACTAATAATGAGAGAATATTCAATCTATAAGATTAAAACACTTCTCAGATAGCAAATGTTTTCTCAAAAGGACACCAATAAAGGAAAGGACGAAAAGTGTGCACTCTCAAAGCAATTTGGGCAACATATTTTAGCAACGCTTTGGCGTTTTAAAGATTTCCTTGATAATTAAAGAAAAAAAAAATACAATAATACTATGGATTTTTTTCTATTACAAAGAAACCCCGTTTCCGTGCATTTGATCTATATAAAATTTTACTTCACACTGTTTGTAAAAAAAAAAATTGCAACTTGGCGAATGCACAGCTCTTCAAAGTCCTGCACAATCTTTGAGTATTTTACGTACACTTAAAGCTTCTAAAAAGTATCCAGCATCGCTATCAGAAAACAAATTGCCTACAAAGAGAAAAAAAATTCTGATATTAGCCACACTACACTCGTAATTACTACTTTGTACCTTACACTTTAATAAATAAGAATTTTTTTATCTAAGATGCATAACTAAATACTCAATTTTAATTAAAAATTAATTGCTGCGAGGGCATTAATTGAAAATGTTTAAAAGTGAAGAATTTGAATCATTTTTCAAAGGGGGGAGGGGGGGGGGGCAAGAATTTTAAAATACTGAATGCGAGTATCTGACAAGTAGGAATTATTCAATCACAAGGACTTAAGGATATCTGATCCTCAGCCAGGAAGGATAACTCCAAAAATTAATATTTAAATTTGAAATGCATCAAAATGAAGTTTGGAAATGAGATTTTTTTCATGCAACAATTTTCATTTTATTCATCTTTATAAGATTCAAGGTTTTTGGAAGTCTTAGTAAAAGTTGACATTTGTACCCTATAAAAAGAAACAAGAATTAATACAGTTTAAGAGGAATACCGGTAAGATTTTCTTGAATCCAGCCTTAGATACCAATGCTTATTGGCATGATGTGAAATAAGAAGTGATTTGTGGTGTCTTGCAATGATAGCAAAAGCCTTTTACACTTTGTATTGTAGAAAACATGATGGAAATAGAGGACAAAAAATACAAAATAAGTATAAAAATCATGACAATTTCTCTGAATGCCTGGATACTTATGGTTTTTTAACCTAAAATATATTTGTTGATCAATTTGCAAGTAGAAAATGCATTGCTGATATTCCAATTCGCTTTTTCTGCAAGAATATTGAAGATTTGACAATTTTCCCTATATTATATGATTAACTTTAATCTTTAACTTTAAAGAAATACTGTGGATAAATTTTCCTAACTTTGTGGATTCAGAGATACTTTTATGAGTATTTTTGATAACTTAACTGCTAGTTTTGTAAACCTGAGGATCGGACTACCTTAAAGGCTTTGTCCGTGATGTACCGGTACTTGTGGATATAAGTAAGTGTATACCTACCAGAGAGGTTGATCTTTTTTAATGTTGTATTACTTGTCAGCATGTTACACAAGGCTTTCGCTCCCTTACTACCGAGTCGGTTCTCTGAGATATCCTAAGGGAAAATAAACAGATTCTACATACTAAGGGTAAAAATTTGTTTATGATGAATTTTATTGATTTAAGAGACCCATTCTATAAAAGAATTTACGTCTATGATCAAAAACTTTTATTGAAAAATTTTGCAAAATTATTAATAGACTTTAAATTGCTAATATAAAAATATCTACATTTTTTTAAGAAGGTTAAAACCATTTTAATTTTTTAATGCAAATAAGACAGTTATAAGCAGAAGACTTTGGTCTTAGACGTAAGTTCTTCTGTGAAACGATCCCCTGATTCTCTGTATAATAAACACTTCTTGTTGCACTTAAGCTTTATGACACATAAATGTACACATGACTAGGGCTTCTTCCCTCCAGAGAAATTTCTGCAAGTATTTCGGTAATTAAGACATTGTTAACAAGAAACTGTGTCTTGCTAATTAATACCATGATGTTAGATATGGTGTAGTAATAAAGGTTTGTTTAACTGCAGTTACCTTTCCCTCAACAATGAAGTGCTATTCAAGAGAGCATGCTTTTCAGAATTCATGAATGATTTTGTTTTCAGGTGAGGAAATTTCCATGATTTTTTTTTATAATTGGAAATGTTGCTCAATTGATTTCCTCCTACCCCCCTCATTTTTGTATTTGAAGGTGAAAAGACAGATTATAAATGGCGAAGATACAAAAAAGTGCTTCTAAAGGTGTGTTTATACAAACCAGATCTGTTATGTAGCAGTTTTCTTTCAGCATTCTGGCCATGCTCTCGCCCCCCTCCCCCTCCAGCCAGTTATCCTGAAGGTCTAGAGTTATCACTGATGTGTTGTTCTGTTAGAAAAGAATAACTCGTGTATCTGTCACATAATTACAAGCAGAGCTATTATCTTCCTTTAAAAAAATTATGTCCTCTATCGGAGTTGAAGCATTTTACTTCTTATAAAATGTTGTTTTATAGTATCAGAATTTTTCTTTATGTTATAGTCAACAACACTTAATTTCATTCGTTGTTATGTTCTAATTTTTTTTAATTTTACTAGTACAAAGTTTTTGGATAGAGTAATGTGGATTTTTTTAAGATATGCGTACCATGAGCGGGAATGAGATCGCCTTAGCCCCCCGACTTCCAATACCATGGTGCCTTAGTGATAAAGTACTGTCTTGCATGTGTCGGAGGAAATAAGAGGAGGGGATAACGCCCAGAGATTTACACACGGCCAGATACTGGTTACGGCCCGTCACGTCAAACTCCTCCTTCTCCTCTAAAAATAGTAAAAAACGACAGATAATAGGTCAAATTAAAAACTTTATTCTTATTATTTTATTGCTTTATGAATGGGTGAACCCGTACTTTTTACTTACCCCTGATTAAAACTAATAAAATTATCTTGCCATAAATACGGTATATTAGGCCTATAGCCAACTGCAGAATAACCATATCATTATAAATAGTATACATGTATATTATCATAATTATGAAATATAATAAACCCCCCCTTATTCAAAAAGAGTCTATAATTAACATTTACCAATTACAAAACATTGCCAAATTAGTTTAAGGATTGACATTTTGCGGCCAATCTGTAGAGTTATCTACCTTCTAACTCCAGGTCCGTATCTTGATCCTCTTCTGTAGTTTGGTTTTTCTCTCTTGTGAATCCAGATTTTATTTTTCCCTTTTCTTGACTGAAAAGAGACAAGTCTAGAAATCTTTGTCTGTAAGACAAAGATTTCTAGACTTGTCATGAAAACTGTAAATTTCATCATGATGTTACATGTGCATGTAACACTACAGGATGTCAAAACCCTCTGATTTTTTTTTTTCATTTTGTTACGGTTACAAAGTTTATTTACTATCATTATGTGAGATGAGCAAGAAATATTTGTGTCATTCACAAAAAAATTACAATGAAAATATTAATTTTACAAGTATATTTTAATATTATATCAGGTGAGCATGCCGAGGGTAAAGAGTTATAGGAAATCATAGAAAATTTAATTAAACTTGTACAGAAATCTGTGCGTCATCAGAAAAATAATTTTGTAGCAAAAAGTTTTTGGATTGTATGAATAATAATTTGAAGGGAAAAATTCAACTGTCCGAGAAATCGGTATTTTGGCGAAAATGGGGGGGGGGGGGGGGTCCTGAGTGGTTGTACGCGTTTATCCGTGTGTGTCGAGAGGTAAAGTTACAGATTATGGCAATTTTTAAAGAAATGTTGATACATGTATTGTGAATTTGAAATATACAAAGAAACTGTTAACGTGTATGATTAAAGTTTCAAGGAAAAAAAAAACCATTTCTCATGATGCCATAAAACGATAATGCGTCGCTAGAAACCCACGATTTTCGTTGGATTAGACATGATAAAATAATAAAATGAATATAATTTATCACGCTTTTTCCTGGAGGATCCATATAACTCCATACAAAACATATCTGTTGAATTAAATATCTGGCAGTGTTTTTATAATCAGGGTACAAGCAAAGTTGGTGCATATTTTAAAAAACATCCCACCCCCTTCTTAATTCATTGCTATGCATGGGTCTTGGGATGAATCGTGTTCAGTGTATGGCTGATTAAGTACTTTCTAGGAAACATTCATTATAAAAGGAACTAGTGCTAATTGTAACGGGAACCGTTACAGATGTTCCCCAAACGCTCCACAACTTCATTTTGGTGCCTCATTCCCTCTAAGCTTCATTAAATAAACTAAACCCTATGTATCTTAAACTTAAACAATGTTTTTCCTAAAGTATACCAAGTATATAGCAAATCTTTTCATTGCACGTGCGTACACTTGCATGCATATGCGAAATGACCATATCATTGTATCTACATTATTAATTTATTTTAATACATGTATACTTAATATCAAGGCATTTAATCAAAAAGTATTCGAAAATACGCTAAATCAAGTGCGTTTGTAATTATACGTATTTCACATGCACGCACGTGCATGCATGTGCATGATGACCATACCCTTTTGTAGAGGTCCATTAAGACTATCTATGTTCTAAATCCCATCCTGTTTGGCTGAAAACCAAGGGAATTATAGGCATTTAAAGTTTTAGCCAATCAGATTGCAGCGCACGTGCATGCGCGTGATTTCATTAAAACTATTTTTATCATATCGTAGGATATCTTAATGCATTACCATGTTTTAAATTTCAAAGTATTTCGTCAAAAAACGAATAAGATATTGAGATTTTTGTTTCAGCCAATCAGAGCGAAGCACACGTGCATGCGCGTGAGTTCATGATAATTTGACCATGTCATCTTGTCTATAATACTAATATATTCTTATATTCTGAGTTTCAACACATTTCATCAGAAAATAGAAAAGTTACGGCTATATCAATTATGTTGGTCATTTTACATGTTGCACGTGCGCACTCTTGCAAGCACGTGCGCGCAAAATGACCTTGATTCCGCAAATCTACATAACATGTCTACTTACCCTAAAAAGATTTTACTTACATCAGATGAACAGTTTACAAGATCATTCGCGGACAAATAAGTACCCAGGAAGAAGAAAAATAATAATAAGAAACAGAGTAAAAACAATATGTTCCCCAACTTCGTTTGGGGAACATAATTAGTAATAAAACAATCTTAACTAGGCTATCTTATCTCGTAACGTAAAAAAAAGTATTTGTTTATCAAGAAAAAAAATGTCGACTTAGGACATCACTTTTCATATTTTTTTTTCAATTAGGCAAAAAACATCATTTATTTATGATAATACAAAGGTTGCCCGAACTACTACTACTTTCTTATCAATAATTTTATAATTACCTGTCTGGAGTAGACGGAATATCCGTACTCTCTTCTTCAATAACTGACATTCCTATTTCCGTTGACGACATTATCAAGATGTGCTTGAAATGTTACGTCATCAGGATAATTTGACGTTTGACGTCAAATGACGTCATAGTAGTGTAAGTTTTTTTTCTTCAAAAAGCACTCTGTTCCTATTTTGTACAGGCACTTGACGAATGGATGGCGTAAACCCCCACCCACCCACCCCCCAGCTTCTAAGAATTTTCACAAGACACAAAAACTTATCAAAAATTCGATTTCCTATAGTCTATCATTCCTATATTTCGATAACTGATATCATATCTGTCGCACTTAAAATATACATTATCTTAAATTAATAAAATTTAAAATTTAAAAATGAAAATAAAGATTGATTCCTTAGACTGATTACCATTGATTTCTTGCAAGTAAAAATGTCTTGTAAATGTGTAGGTGCAATGTTTAGGGGTTTTTATTCTTTTTTAAAAATATACATAAGAATATTTTTAAAATACGAATTGATTTTAATTGATCAGGATTTCAAATTCAGACAGACGGCAAATAGATATAGTCAATACCCCCCTCTCCGATATTTTTACAATCATATAGATCATTATTATAATTATAATGATTAAAAACCTGCTCGTTTTATTGATCTTGAATTGTCAAACTATTTACTGTGGCACAAGAGGAAATCCATTTACTTATTACTTATCGATATTTGGGAAGAGAGTATACTGTCCGCAGGTACTTGTACATTGGGTCTTTATAACAAAAGTGAATGCCAATTTTTGTAAAAGAGAGCAAAGAGTTAAAAACGAATCAATATTGTACTTCAATGGAAATTCTTTCGGCAAACAAATTTTGTTTATTCGGTCCGGTCAACGTTTGTATTTTTATTGAATTCATATTTAATTTGCGTTCGGCTTAGGCCTTAAACTAATTAAGGAGCTTTTAAAAGTGTATAAAAGATTCATTATCATTGATTTTCTTTCAATTGTGCAACGAGCAGATATTGCCATTATTCATGGCCATATTTAAGCAACATTCAGTTTGGGACTCATCGTTGTAAATTACGGCTGATGAGAAGGGCTTTGTACTATCTGCGAACGTATATATACGTATAGAATTAATGTAAATGGTTTGCTTGTGAATGTTGCAAAGGTGATCATAATGTCCACAGAGCGAATGACAAACCGTCAGGACAGAATTCGCGAAAGAAACATAGCAACATGTGACTTAGCGATGCTCCTGGAGAGGAGAGGAAAGCGTCAGATCGAAAAATCTCTGCGACGATTGGAATTTGATGCAATATCTGCGTATGGGAAACATGTTCGAAAAATCAAATTGTTAGAGAAGGAACACAAAGAAAAGTTCTCAAATGAGACAGTCTCTAGAATGGAAAAATATTTAACAACAAAATTCCAACCATTGAGGGGAAAGGGGGAAAAGCATAAACAGTTAAATTCGTCGCCACTTTGCAGCAAATCACTGGATATCAGTTCACAGTCGAAACTTGACATTTGTTCTGGCAAAAAATGCTTGCAATTTCCTTGTCGCAAAGAACGGACATACCATTTTATGTTTGTCACACCGCATTCCATGAAAGAAACGCGCGAATTTATATGGCGACAAAACACGACACTGAGTGCGCGAAATTGTGAAAATAACCTAGAAGAGGGAGATTCGCGTGCCTCTACACCAGTGTCTTACAAAGGAAGCATGCCTTTAAATGAAGCGGAACTTTTAAATGATAATCTCGAAATGTTTCCCTCTGAATCGAATTTTACTTCACAGTTAGATATTATGACCAAAAACTGCAATCTTACTAAAAAAGAAATGTTTTTGAAAGCAACAGTTCAAAGCAAGAAAAGTGCTATTCCAAAGAAAGTTGATATAAGTGTTAATTATGGGAAGCCCTCGCCATGGCGGATATTGTTACGACCTGTTCGTCCGAGACAAAGTGAACTTGTGAGAAATTCCGGTAGAAAGATTTTAGCATTTTGAGGAATATAGTGTGATGTGATTTTCTTGGATGTCCATTTGTATTGTATTTTTAAAAAGCATTCAAGTTTCCATGAAGTACCATGAAATATTCAAAACGTACTTAACACACTGTAAGCAAATGGCTCAATTCGAAGAGAGCATTAGACATTCTTTGCAAGTACGAAATTGAGAATTGAGACCTTTTTCGCCAGCTGTTTCCCCCTTAATCTTGCGATTCCTCTTCAATTTATAAAAAAAGATCCATTACCTTAAATCGTAAGACTTACAAGTACAGCAATTTTCGAGTTTCAATGCGATAACTCTACTTTTATTTCTTTATACGTGTACTGTTTTCTTTATTCAATCATTTCTTATATCGATTTTGTATGTATTTCTTCTCCCATTGTTCATCAATGATTGATAGTACTTTGTTAAATTCTTCTGTGTGTCGAAAAATGATCAAAACATAAAACACCAAGAAAAATTATCTGTGCAAATATTTTTATTTTTTAAAATAAAAATAGGAACAAAAAATTATTATAATCAGAACATAAATATATTACTCTGAAAAAATAAATACATATATATATACATGTGGACAACAAGTCTCTATGCCGATCACTGTTGATAAAAGTATGGATATGGTGTGGTAGAATACCCAGCATAGCTTGTAATTGGAGAATAAAATGCAGCAGAAGGGCGTCCCGAAACCATTGTAGTGTTGGGGTAGTGATTTCTCTGGTTTGCTACATAAGTTTGAGTTGCGTAGTTGGGATAGCTGTAGCTTGATACCCCTGCAGAGAGAGGCTGGGAGCATGGAGGAACAGCGTAGTAGGAGGTCGAGGCGACTGGGCCGGTATTTGACATCGATGCAGTGGAACACACAAGAGATGATACAGGTTTTGGTCCTGTGGTCGTGTGATGAGAATAAAAACTGTCGTGGAATTGGGGCGTAGGGAGAGAAGTATAGGGCATCTCGCGTCTTACTGAGTTTGGTTTCGATACTTCTGTCACGCATAAGGGTTGACTTTTGTCCTCGTTTTCTTGACGAATTTTCTCATTCGGCGTTGCTAGAGTTTCCTGGAAATCTCTTTCAAATGGTACTTTACTGGGACCAATCAGGGAAGAGAAGGAGTCGTCCAGATATGTGGGATTGCTTTTCAATGCTGAGACTTGTGAGGGGACCCATGGAAGCATGTCAAGGAGAGATCCTAAATCCTTGCAGAGGTCAGTAGAGGGAGGTGGAGGAATCGGCAAAGAACAGTTGGCAACATCTGTTTCCGTTGTTCTTTTCGGTGCGGCTTCCTCTTCAATCAGTCTGGCCGACTTCGCTGCAACTGCCAGTATGTCACCGTCATCAATTTCATCGAACTTCCTTTTTCCTGATTTAGGCATTATGGGTGTTGAGGAGAATTCGAAACTACTGGAGGCGTTCTGGTGACCTAAGATATCGTTGATGCTGTAACCAACAGGAGAGCGTTTGGAGACAATGGGTGGGCTGATGGAGCTTTCAGAAGATGATGGAGAGCAACTGGAACCCAAAGAAGATCTGCGAGATTGGTCGGATGAATGGCTACGTAATATTCTGTTAATGGAGCTGATACTTGGAACATTGAACTTCGTACATCTCCTCTCTTTTATCAGTCTGTCTCTTATTTCCCAGGCAAACATGGTCGGATTTTCATCCTTGTATTTCATGATTATATCCACCACTTCTGGGACGGCTACCTTTGGCTTGGATCCGCCTGTCGACCCCGCTGTGTAAAATCCCGTGTTGCGGAATTTCTTCAGCAGTTTGCTTACACATCCATGTGAAACTTTGAGCTGCTTGGCGATGTCGCAGGCACGGACGTTGTTCAACGACATTTCTACAATCTGTCGGCGCACAGACTCGGGGAGTGCCTTGCCATTCACGTAGGATCCACCCATTTGATTAATTCCTGTTTGGCCTTTGAAAAAAAAAATAGTTAAAAATTAAGAATCCATCATTAACTGCATGAAGAAGTGGTTGAATTCATTTTTTTGTAGAACCCACTAAAAATATTTTTTGTAAAATGAAATAGGTCTTAGTAACCCCTTACATTTTTTTTAATTCTATGAAACTGACAAACCATTTCCATTTAATAGTATTTATATACTTATGCCCTGTTCACACGGAGAGTTTAATTCGCAGTAAATTAATGCGAAGTAAACTAATGCGTAAACTAATGCGAATTAAAATCTTACTTCTGCAGCCCGGTGTCAGCACGGCTATTATGACGTCATTTGCAGATCACGTCACCTTATGCAGAAGCAGATCCATTTGACATAATGGCAAAGTGTCTGTATGCACATTTTGATGATTAACAAAATTTCCTTAGTTTTTCACTCAAAAATAGCACAAGTACCTATAGCTAACCACCGACAAGTGGCATTTGACTAAATTTTTCCATTACGCATTCATCAGAATTTAATTCGAATTAGCTTCGCTTAGCGTTCACACGGAGCTAATGCGAAGTAATTTAATGCGCAGTAAACTAATTCGAATTAAACTAATTCGCATTAAATTCTCCGTGTGAACGCTAAGCGAAGCTAATTCGCAGTAAACTTACGTTTAATTCGAATTAAACTCTCCGTGTGAACAGGGCATTAATTATTTCCATTTATATATTTTCAATTGTTATAGTTCAAAGTAGAGGAAGAATTTGGAATTTCAATGTTATGCCCTGTTCACACGACGAGTTTAATTCGCAGTAAATTAGTGCGAAGTAAACTAATGCGAATCAATTTAATGCGAATTAAATTGCGTTCACATGACAGCTAATGCGAAGTAAACTAATGCGAATTAAAATTTTTCTTCTACAGTCAGGCGTCAGTAAGTCTATTATGACGTCATTTGTAAATCACGTCATGTATGCAGAGCTATCCTTTGATACAGCATGTAGAGGCTACAGGTATTCAACGATTTTAGTGATTAACATACTTTCCCTCAATTTTTTAACCAAATATAGCACAAATACCTATATATAACCACCAACACGTGTCCTGTGGCTTAATTATGGCCTTACGCATGCGTCAAAATTTAATTCGAATTAGCTTCGCTTAGCGTTCACACGGAGCAAATGCGAAGTAATTTAATGCGCATTAAACTAATTCGAATTAAACTAATTCGCATTAAATTCTCCGTGTGAACGCTAAGCGAAGCTAATTCGCAGTAAACTTACGTTTAATTCGAATTAAACTCTCCGTGTGAACAGGGCATTATATTATACAAACTGAAATTAGTGTTCTCATACACCTCTGTACTTGTCTGTTTGTTTCAGTATCCTTTTTAAGAAAATTCTTGAAACTAAATTCTAATAAACTAATAAATTCTGAACTTGAATTATACCTTGGAATGACTGGTTGGAAACATTAGTTTGCAACTTTAGGGTTGAAGAAAAGTCGTAAGTTGGTACATGAAATGCTTGCTGAATGGGATAGAAGGCGGATTGTGGCAAACCTTGAAGACCTGCCATTTCTGAAATCTTTTCTTTTTTTCTTTGCTAATTACTAGATATCAGATCAGTGAATGATGCTGAAATTCAAACAGTTGATAGTTTATATACTTAGTGGACTCTGTAAATGACCTCTGATTCCGACCAATGAAAATGCTCGATTTTGGGATACTGCTAACACGCGCCGCTTACGTAGCCGCTGGATAGGAAAGTGTGACTAACGGTCCGGGCGATTTTCACACATATCTGGTCCCTGATACGGTGTAATTAATTTGTCAACACCGTAAAACTTAATGATGCTGACCCGAAGAAACAGATCACCTTAAAATTATAATTTTTAGACTTAATTTCAGAATTATAATTTGCATAAAATATTGAATTCTTATCTATACTGTATGGTTGACATATACATGTATAATGAAAATGAAAAATACCTATGCACAACTAATTTAATCTTATATATTTTTTTTCCAAATACACAGAATATGTTGCTTTCTAAACAATTCGATTTATTTGACTCGGATGAGGACGAATGCATCAAATTCGCTTCTGTGAAAAATAAATGCGATATCCGTACAGAAAAAAACGGAAAAAAAATTGTCATCATAAAATGGTTTAAGGGTCCTAATTTTTTTTTAAAAAATATTTATGCGCCCGGATCGATAGATCCGAGGCGTATATTGTTTTTGTCCTGTCTGTCTGTCTGTTTGTCTGTCTGTTTATCTGCAAACTTTAACTTAAACTTTACTGTAAACTTCATTGTAAACTTTAACCTTCGCCATAACTTTTGAACCATGAAAGATAGAGACTTCATATTTGATATGCAAAAATTAAGCTCTTTCAAATGACACCAAGGTCAATGACCTTGTGACCTTGACTGTGGCCTATATGCTAAAAATAGTTTTTTTTTGCAAAATTTAACCTTCGCCATAACTTTTGAACCATAAAAGATAGAGACTTCATATTTAGTATGCATATTCTTTTTTAATAAAAGGTGAAATTACTAATCAAGTTCTTTGAAATGACACCAAGGTCAATGACCTTGGGACCTTGACTGTGACCTATATGCTAAAAATAGCTTTTTTCGAACTTTGTTGCTGCCGGGCGCATAGTGTTTCACAAACACATCTTGTTTTATCTGGAAATAAGATTTTCTCCAGAAAAAAGGCTAACATGCCTTTTCTCTTTTTTTTTTAAATAAAAGGTAAAATTGAAACTGTTCAAAATTATTTTTATTTTGTACATTGTTAAACTGTTTGCCATCACGTTTAGGTATGTTAAGAATCAGTTTATCAGTCTGATTATAAGTGCTTGTAAGTGTGAAATATATAGTTTTATCTTAATGACTGTATTTTTGAAATAAAACTTTAATCGTTTTATGAACTTTGTAACGGTGTTTGCCTTTAATATTCAGAAATTAAATCACTCTTTTATCTTCTTTTCTGTCTTTTAAAACAACTACATAATGACACAACGAATGGAAATATAAAATGTAATTGTCCATAAATAAACAAAAATTAGATACCAAAATTCATGTTATCGCACGTACAACTTTTTTTATTACAAATTTGAAGTGACCAGAAAATCGCAGTATGATAATTTCCGTTCCACGGGCAATTACTGCACTGTACCTGGAAGTTAAATAATTATTTTGTCAACACCGTTAACCTGGAATATCCATATTAACACATATAATGATACATGGCTGTTATAATTAATCATACTTTCTGCAATTGAAATTATAATTGACTGTAAATATTTTCTGAAGCGTAAATAACAACTACATTGTACGCAAGTTAAAATAAATATTAAAGACGTTTCATCCACAGACATTTTTTTTAATCATAAATAGTAAAACGTGTAATTTTACATACAAAAATTTTGAAACAAAAATATTTTTTTTTATGTTCCGAACCAGGTGATAACGATTATATGTTTTACTCACAAATGTACACATATATCACAGAACTTAGTAAAACATTTAAGATGTAGTCAATCATGAATACACAATAAACAATGTTTTTAATTGGGAATGCATCCTGTTAGCAAAGGGAAAAAAGTACCATAATATAACAGTATACATTACTGATTATCACTTGCATCATGTTAATGAGTTAACTGCCCAAATTTCCAATGTTTGTAAATATTATGCATAAAAAATTCATTACAACCATAGAAATATCACATGCCAATATCATATGACAATATTAGTCTTGAGACTAAGCATATTCACATCCCTCTTAGAAAGATATGAGAAATTCTTTGTTCTTGTTTTCAGATCCTGATATAAATCAGAATTATATTACTAATTTAATATATTTCAATATTTAGTTGTTAAATGAAGATTCAAAAATAAAGATAATTTACTTACAAACAGTGTACATATATAATGTTTATTGAAGGACTGAACAAAAAAGTAATTTCTTAAGTTAATGATATTTTAATTATAACCTACAATATCTTTTGTTAAATACACATTATGTTGCTTTTGTAACCTTAACCTACCTTAGATTAGTCTAGTACATGATGCACATTATTATAAATTAATTTATAATGTCGATCTGCATTCATTTATTCCTGTCAGATATAATTTGGATTCATTCACTTCAATGCAGTATAAATATAAAACAAAAATTGTACCAGCATATAGGGGATATTTCTAGAAACAATGATGCCTATCATTCTATTGAGATAGACTGCACATCATCTTAAAACTTGTCCAAACCCATTGATTTACTGTCTATAAAATATATGTATGCTCAAAACATATCTTAATGCCAAATGGGGGATTGCACTGCATACCTTGAATATTAAAATGTTAAAACTATACTGCATATGGTAGTGAAGGGAGCTGTATCAGGGAATAGTTCCTGCATCCTGACTATCCTTGTTTCACACAGTGACACTTCCAGTTTCCTACAACATTAATTCAGGCCTCTGAGTGCCACACAAAACGTTCTCCTAGTTTTAGGTACTACTTCAGTCCTGTATCAGTGGAGTCCTCTCGGATGTGTTGATTTCATCGGAATCGGAGAACTCTGCACTCTGAATGTTTCCGCTGCGACTAGCGCTGGTGACATACTCCATGTCTTTGATCGGTGTCCTGAGACACGGGATACACTCCACGTGAATCAGCTCATTATACAGAGCTGTACCAATCAGCAGGAACAAGAAACCATCCACTGTAAAATACATCAAAAATAGGTCACAACATTTATTGTCCTGTTAAAAATAAGGAAGAACATTTATTTTCAGGTTAAAAATAGGTCAGAATATTTAATTTCATGTTGAAAAAAAGGCAGAACATTTAATTTCATGTCAAAAGTTGTTCTAATCCAGTAAGAATGATTCAGTCCTAAACACACATGTAAATGTACATGATTGTAAACAAAGTACAAGTATATTGATTCATGTACATGTATATAACAAGTAAAACAGAAAAGAAAAACCCAATTTTAT